TTTTGTCGACATTTTTATGCAACCAATCTTTGCTTCCTGCCCACCGTGTAGAGCGATTGCTTCCACATGTAAAATTTCGTTCTTTGCATGCAGTAATTTTCGCTACCACTTAGCAATTACCGTTCGTAGCGGTGTGGCAATCAACCAGTGCTTGTGGTCTTAGGGCCATTATCTCGAGTGCTTGTTAAATTCTTCTTCCCGGCAAACATCGTTATCAACGTTATAGACTGCCTGTCTGTTATAATATGCATGTGTCGACGCCTATCTATGCCTGTCTCCCTGCCTATGCTCATTGCTAGGCATTTCTGGAACCAAGGGTGCAATACGCTTACTTCACTTACATATGTTGTCGTCGAGCTGATGAATCCAATCAGTTATAAAACTTAGGATCGTTTGTTAATAGTTCTGATTATATGCCAATAGCACACTCTTTTAATTTTATGACGTTATATGAATCTTTAGGCAATTATTTTAGTGGCACTTTGTCAGTGAATTTCATGGCAGCATCAATAAGGAAGCTTAAGGATTCCTTTATAACGTCGGTACTACAACAACGCAAGGTACTACAACACGCTTGCTTTTTAATCGGTATTGCAAGAACTCGTAACCATGTCACGATGTCACGATCCTATCACTCAAGCGCTGCCGTTCTCGTGTGGGCTTACGTGCAATTGACAAATAAGGTTTTAATTCTTTTGATGCACGGAAACGGTTGGCTTTAGTGGGATTTTGACAAGTGCTTTTCAGTTAGCCTTTGGGCCTGCTAAAAAGCTTAAGCGAATGGGGTGTCCACGCAGATCATATCATATCTTATGTTTGATAAGATCACCACCATAACCATACGTACTAAACTTAATGTGACCAACCGTACTTCTTTCGGAAGTACAGTACTTCTTTTTTCGCTCTTGTACTTCGTACTTCGAAATACAGTCAAATGCACTTTTTTGAGATATTTTGTACTTCAGGTGGAAGATTTTGTAACCAGTTAGCGACAATTTTCGGATTGCTATCGCACTTTTTGACGCATGATATAAATGTTTTTGTCGCTAGCTGGTTTCAGAATCTCCCCCCAGGTCCTGTACTTCCCCGATATTCTGGACGATCGTCACATGGTCAGTCAGTGTTGCATTCAGTCCGAAGGCCGGAAAAGGGGCACATGTTTCCCCTAGGTATTTTAGACAAATCAGCCTCCCTTCGTTTTTGCTAACGTGTACAAAAAAAAAGTCATTCCTCGTGACTGTCTTTCAAGAGTTCAATATGCCCTGCATACCTTGGTAAACTGGTCAGAGGAACCCTTCCCACATAAAGATTATGCAGTAGGAGCCTTATTCGATATCGTGGTGCCCTCAACAATGTCACACCAGAGGTAATAGTCTGGTATATTAATATTCGGGGGGTTGAAACCAACCTAATAAGGCTTATCTACAGCCTACTACTGCGGACAGAATTGTCGCGGCGGAGTGGGGACGCGCCTGCACTCAGTACAGAGTCATTAGGAGTACTCCACAAGGTGGAACAAGTGGGCTGTCTGGTGATCGCCTATGTAGATGATGTGGAACTTTTGGTTAAGGGACGATTTGTAGACACCGTCTTTGATCTGGCTCTGAACCAGGTGACTAGGTGGGCGATCAACGGCGGCTGTCGTGGAAGTATAGCATTGCGGTAAGGTAAGAAAGGTGTCGGTTACCTTGTACTGCTGTAGGAGAGCTATGGGTAAAAGGTGAGGTCTCTCGCTCAAATTAATTCATTATCTCTAAGAAACCATATTTAAGCCTATATTGTTTCAAGGAGCTCTTGTTTGGTGGAACACACTAGAGAAGGCTACACTTGTAAAATAGGAATTAGCGGAGCATTAGGGACCACTCCTACACTGGCGCTTAACATCATATTTTGAAGACGGAGCTTGCGAATTTTGCAGACATAATTGTCGCAGAATGAATTGCTATTAGGCTAGGGGAAACCGGGTCCTTTTATGCTTTTAATGCTTTTATAGGGTACTTTAAACACGTTACCTCTCAAGCGCTAGTGATGGGGGTTCTGACAGGCCATTGTGCGATTGGTATTCATGCGGTGAGACTAGGAATTTCAACTGATCCTCGCACTTCTGAACAAACACTAAGCTATCAGGATCGAAATCAGCCGCATTCGAAATTTCGTAATCGGCTCGCGGCGTTAACTTAACCCAATTTCACTACTTCTTTGAGCTATGACATAGTTGGCCACATTAACTAAACTCCATCCATTTAAGTTTAATAGAGGAAATGGGAAGCATAAATGGGCATAAATCAAAAGATTTAAAAACTGTATATACATAATAGGCTTTGATAAAATAAAAATTAGTCATAAAGTTTACAAGGATTTAACTACCGATTTTCATACATGTCTACAGTGCTTGGTTAACGAGAGTTTAAACCACACTGAGAAAAGGGTTTAGTTACGTCAACCAAATATTTTTGCTCTCAACACATGACTTGGTTATGGTTACATTATTTGATTATAGATACCAAATGATGTGTTAATAGAAATATATTTAGCTGATGTATTTTGAAACGAATTTCCGTCATCACTTGTCAAATTTGGTTTGGAGACAAACCGGTTTCGGCGTTGCGCCATCTTCAGTGTCATTTTTCGTTGTGTCCGAACCAAATTTGACAAGGGATGACGGAAATTCGTTCCAAAATACTACATACACCCACCCTGTCGGAAACAACAACAACCAAAAAGGAAATATTTAGCAGACTTTTTTCTGAGTGCTGCATACGTCTGTAATTAAGTTAATAGTGAATTAAAAATCTTTTTTGGCGGAAAGAAATTAAAATTTGTAAAGAAAAATTCATTTCAGTTAGCTTTTTGTACTGACTGATCTTTGACTTCTTATCCTATCTTATATTTCTTATGTCTCATGTATCTACAAGACCAAAATTTAAGATTTTGAAGTCAGTTTATAGTAATTTGTAAAAATTTTGATCATTTAGAAATTTGACATACTATTTTGGTTACATAAGAACTGGACATATATTTGTCATTGTCCTAAGCGGGATGCAAGTTGGTAATTTTTAAAGAATTGAGCATTTATAAATACACTCCGCTCCACTTGAATGGGTACATATTTTTTCCTCAAGTTATGAGCTAATATCTGAATCGGAGAAGCTTCGCTTTAGTTTTATTTTGAAGAATGATAGATTTTGAAGAAAACTGAAGAAAACACCTTTAATAATAATAATTTTCACGATTATTGAATGTTGCTTATTGCTTATTTCCCTTTCATGATCAAGAAGAGAGTATGGCGCACAGTGTAAGATTTTACCCATCTAGCTGCTTTTAATTCTGTAATTCGAAAACTGTTGAAGATAGCTTAATGAAATTTTGCACAAGGTACGTTATAAAATAGGCGAAGTTTTTTACAAAAAATTTGTCATTTAGAGTTACTGTCACGCCACCCTATTATATAACTGCAATTTTTAAAAAGGCAAAAACTAAAATATTTAACCAACTACAAAGGCTAAAATATCCAAAATTGATATTTAGAATTGCCCTATAACAAGGAATTATAAACTGACAGAAATGGACTTAAAAATAAATATATGTATGTATAAATATATTTTTTTAAATTATGGGCTTGGAAAATGTCGATAAAAAAGTCAAGTTGGATCAACAAAACTCCGTTATAAGTTCAATATTTCTTGCTCTATTTGCAAAAATGGGATACCAGTGGAAAGATAATGAATCAGGCTTTCTCTATTCAAAGCGAAAATACAGAATTTGTCTCGGACGAGATAAAATGCAAATGAATTACTCGAAGAAAATGAAATTCCTAGTAGGCCTAAAAAAAAGAAACTTTCATCAAAACCTGCACATTCCAGCAGCTGAAATTGTGTTGTTTAAAGTCTAAGAAGAGTGGCAAATAAACTGAGATACAAACTTTATCGAATAATAGCGGATAACGAGTTTGCGGGTCTAATGAAATTAATAAATAGCTAAAAAAAAAACTTTAAGTTAGCATCGTTTTACTTTAACATGAAATACTCAGTCCTACTTGGTATTTTAGCAATTGTTGCATAAATCACATAACACCGACAAATTTAACATTGAGATTCAGTTCCAAATATACAAGTTTAAATATTATTGCGCTTGGTAATTGTCCAAATCAAAACCCGTTCCGCTCTACACTTTGATTTAAATTTTTTAGTTGTTATTATATCGTCTTTATCAGCCATTTCTAAAAACATTTTTGACGTTGTTTAGAAATTTGGCGACATAAAATAATGTAATTTATATTTTATAGAATATGGAAATAATACACTGTGTGGCGGTCTGAACCTTGATTTCGTATTTCATAGCAGTTCAGAGAATATTTCAGGTTTTTCAAATCGCGAAAAAGTTATGCAAAAAATGATATTAAGGACATTGTTATTAACATTTGTCGCATATTTTAGCACTTTGTTTTTGAATATGCTAGCAATTTTACGCACCCGTTCGCACTACAGGCGCTGTAAAAACCAGGATAATGCAGAAAAGTTGTGATGTTTGTTTCTATAAAATGACACAGAAACGAAGCTTTTCCGATGACCAGAAGTAAGCTGAAATAATGAGGCGGAGTGTTTTAATTTTTTTCGAATTTTTTGTTCCCAATACTTCCATATTTCGTTCAAAGTCATCTTGGCTTTTTTGAGAACAAAAAAAAAAAACAATTTCTTACATTATTTGATTATGTATGTAGCCACTCACGTATCAAAATTAAAAATTTTTTAAGGGCGAGGAAATCTGCATGACAGATGGCAAAATAACCTGGGAGCAAACGGTCGATCCGTCGGGCCGCAATGCTAATCCCAGTAACTACGAGAGTTACTCGCGCGATCCTTGTCGCACACCCTACCAGTGGGATGCCACCAAAAATGCCGGTTTGTATTTCTCAAAGTTCTTTTACAACAATATGCTTAATAATTACTATTTTTCCGCCGGAAAATTTAAATCTTTTTGTAACACGAGCTTTTAAATAAAAAAGAAAAATGCGATATCCCTTTTAGTTTCTCGTTATTTTATTTATTTATGTACAATACCGTCTTTTTTATTTATTCTCTGTTGTCTGCAGGCTTTTCCGACGCCGACAACACTTGGCTGCCGGTCGCTGGTAATTATCGCACAAATAATGCGCTGGCCCAATTACGCGCACCAAAAAGTCATCTAAAAATATTTATGAAATTAATTCGCCTACGTAAATTACGCTCGCTGCAAGATGGTCCACTTAAGATAAAAGCAATTGGCAATGACATTATCATCTACTCGCGGTGGGTGTAAACACATGTTAACATACATACATACATACATACATGTGAATGTGCATACAGATATGTATGTACATATGTATCTTATTAGCACACTCCCAATGCACTTAAGTGCTGGTGGCACTTTCATGCACTCATCGCATAATGCACTTCACAGTAGCAACGAAGTAGCGGCTTTGTTTATTTCGCTGTTGCTCACTTTGTTTTGCAAATACTGTTTTTTTTTTGTATATATTTTTTTTGTACTTTTTGTCATAGTGAAGCGCCGGGTGATGCTATGTACGTAATTGTGCTGAATCTTGGCGCCAGAGAGCAGAGTTTGAATATCAATCAACACTTTGATATGGGTCGACAAGCTGAGGTGATTACTTCTTCGTTGCAATCAGCTTATAATGATGGGTAAGTGACACTTTTTAATATCTTCTTCCATGGTTTTAATTTCGTGCTATTTAAAATATTCGCTTCTTACTCTTTCAGTGATATCCTCGATCCGAGCAAATATATGGCTGAGCCTTATGTGGGCGTAATTTTGGTAAAAATTTAAAGTCCCCAGTTCCGTATACTAATTAACGTTCACTTAGAAATAAATATATTTATATTTGTGCCTCTATATGTAAAATTGCAATGTCGTTTTTTTTGATAATTGAAAGCAAGCTTTAAAAAGTTTTTTAACTTCAAAAATTCAGCATCACCAAATTAAAATAAAATCTAAATCTCCTGACTACAACTTTGGTTTAAAATTTGTATTTCTCAATTTTCACTCAATGCAAAATTATTTAATTAAGTGCAAGCATTTAGTGTATTCTACGATGCGCCTGACACCGCTGCAGTTACAGTGGCGGTCAAAAGTGGATGAATGGTGTTTTGTTTTTAATATTTACAATTTTTTCAAACTAGACTTTTTTTGTTATCCTTTTCGGTGTAGCGCGTATTCTTCCACAAGAAATTTTTGTGCATATATGGAAAAAAGTGCAAAATGCCGTAAAAAAAAAAAATTATTAAAAGTCAATGTCATTCTTTAGACGCTCAAAACTTGCACTTATTTTACTAAAGTTGTATAAGCCTGTTAACTGCATAATGGAATTTTTTTAAATTCTGTATAAAGTCTGAAAGTGTGGTCCATATTTTTATAATAAAATAAGAAACAAATTCTAGCTCGAAAAAGATTGTAAATATTAAAAACATACCACTGTTCATCCATTTGTGGCCGTCAGTGTATAGGAAGCGCAGTACCGACAGCGCAAAAATTCTCTGATCCCATTTTCGGTCCCACATATTTTTATAGTCGTTTTATGATACTTAAAAGAAAATTAAAATCTCCCGATTGGGAGAAAAACACAAAAATATTCTTAAAACTCAACAAAACTAAACAATTTTAGACTAAATATTTTTTCCAAAGCGCTTGCAAAGCTGGAACAAATTTTTGTTAAAATTTGTTAAAAAAATAAGGAAAAGTCTCCTTTGCCCATGTGATTATTTATCATGTGCTAACAAATAGTTTTGCGCATTTTCTGGCAACCGTGTAATTTTGATTTGTGCCCCGTTTGAAGACGGTGTCTCTTTTGCATAACGATGTATATAAATATATTAACAATTAAAAAATACACAGGTAAAATATTTAATAACACTGTACAGCACTCGGCTGGGTATTGGATCAAACTAACTTGTTTTTTTTTAAGAGATTAAGTCACTAGTAAAAAAAAAAGTAATTTCTCCGTTAGCCACCGAAATCGAGATATGGGCATTCGAAGTTGGACCTTTGGTAAAAAATTATTTTAAATTATTGCATGTAAAAAGCGAAAAAAAGTGAAAATACAGACGTGGGCTGCCTTTTTCTCTTATTAATGTATGTATATGGTATATAACGTTTTTTTGTGAAAACTTATATTACAGGTGCTATAACGGGTCAATGTTCAGATCTTCGAAAAATTAAAAACTTAATATTTCAGAAAATTTTGAACTGATTTTTAAAAAATTCGTACCGTTTTAAGGATAATTTAACCCGCTTTCTTATGATATGCATATTTGTATACTTCGTAAATACGAATTTGAGAAAAAACACTTAAAAGAAAAATAACTTCTTTTTGTATACAAAAAATATTTGAAACAAAAAAATTACTAACCGATTTTTAAAAAATTGGTATCGTAAAGGAGATTAAACCCCCTTTTCTTTTTATATACATAAAAGTTATTTTTTCCTTTAAATGTGGTTTTTATATACGAAGTGTGTAAATATACATATCAGAAGAAAAGGGGTTTAATCGCCTTTATAACGTTAGCAACCTTTTAAAAATCGGTTAGTAATTTTTTTGTTTGTAAAACGGTATTGTTTCCTTTAAATGTATTTTTTCTCAAATTTTTATGTACAAGTATACAAATATGTATATCAGAAAAAAACAGATTTTATCATCTTTATAACGACACCAATTTAAAAAAAACTGTTAGTAATTTTTTTGTTTAAAATATTTTTTTTTTTTTAAAAGGTATATTTTCCCTTAAATGTGTTTTTTCTAAAATTTTTATATACGAAGTATACAAACATGCATATCGGAAGAAAGCGGGTTTAATCGCCTTTACAGCGACCATTTAGACTATTTTTTAAAAACAATATATCTACACTACTTTACCAAAATAAAACTTCTCAAAACCTTGTTGTGGTGGCAAGTCGTCTAGACTTTGCCACACTTATGTAAATTCAACTAATCAAAAATTTCATGAGTTCAGCTTTACATACATACATACATACGTGCATGCATATTGCATTCAATGGTTTGACATCATCAACAAAGGAGTTAGCATCCGCACACTTGACCCCAACTCTTGTACTACTTTTGAGCATATTTTTCCCCCAACGAGAAATGAAATAAAATTGTGTTGAAATTCGTAATATGAGTATATTAAAAAGGCTATGTCAACAGCCCGATGCGCTAGACGTGAAAGCCAAAATTTCGAGTAGTGGCTTGCGGCCAAAAGCCAAGCTGCATGAACGTGGTTAAATAAACGAACATCAAAGAGTGTATCGTGCGCGCATATGATGCGTATGTGCTATTACACCGTGCGACAAAAAAAAACACAAAATTCAATTACAAACCACACGAAACAATCAACATGTTCACAAAACTGTGGGCCGAATATTAATAAAACTGCGTTTTAAGTTTTTCTCACTGACGTCGAGATTTTTTAAACGACGAATAACAATATGGGTAGCAAAGGAAAGATGAAATTCTATAGAATTTACAGCGAAATAAACATTTTGGTTCACAACAGCGTGTAGGGATTAAAAATGCTCTTTTATTTAATTTTATTTTTTTAAGCTAGTGGAAACAGAGGAATGAAACCCGAGTATGAGGCCATCCGTATATTAATCCCTAACACATTTTAAGGATGTTTTGTGACAAATTTTTTTAGGAAATTTTCAAAATCCAATCGTCCGCCTGCATTATAGAAATACAATATTTTTGAATTCCACAGAATTTTTTTCTTTTATTCGATACCCGTATTGTTATTCAATAATAATCAACTTCAAATTCTAAATACTTGAACAAAATCCTAACGTCAGAGAGTAAAACCAAAAACGCAGTGTTGCTATTTTCGGCCGCCAATTTCGTGAATGTATTGATTTTTTTGGTATGTAAAACTGATTTTCACACCATATTATATGCACTAAATATACGTATATGTAGAAGTATGTATGTTGGTATAAATATAGCCGCACTTAAATAAATTGACTGACAGTTAATTTTAAGGACATGCAGCAAAGTGCTTGCAAACAATTCTCTGCCCTACTTTCTATTATACGGAGGCATTGCCTGCGCTCCTGTCTCCCTACTACTATGTACAACAGCTTTCTCTTGCCAAACAAAATTTATTGCTTGTGAGATCTTCTTTTCGTCGCTTTCAATTTACATACATAAGTCCACACTTCCAATGCAATCTGACCTTATCTGAATTTGCCAAACCAAACCGCCTACTTTCAAATGCTTAAGTTCGTGCGTACACACTGTCACTTTCGTCACCCATTTGATATTATACTGTATGTATTTACTTTCAATTCAAAAGCCCTCGGATGTTTATTATTATTACAAGTTAAACCAATTGCTTTTTTTTGTGTTTAGAATATGCTTGTTTTAAATTGTTTTATACTTCATGAAAACGAGTGTTGCACTGCATGCGCTAAATGTGCACATACACACATACATACATATATAATTATGTACATATAAACATGTTTGCTTTTCCTGTAAATCATATTTGCATATTCATTTTCAATCCGGCCTTTGGGGATATTGTTTGTTTTTTGTTAACTACTTATTTTACATGCTTTTGATATTATATTTTTTCGGTCTTCCATTTTGTTAACGTTTTTGCCCACTTTGTTTTGATATTGCATGCCTTAACGTTTTTACATAATTTCAGTTTAAGTTCTTTCAATTTAGATATTTTTTTTAAACATTTATTTGCACATGGCTTGTGACATTGCGATTAAATTTTTTTGCTGTCACAAACTCAATTGGCAGTAAAAATTGTAATTTTAAAGACCACATTTTTGTTTATAGGCTTATGTAAGCTTATGAACTTTTTCACATACTTATACTACCTATGTATAAACATACCAGGTTATGTACATATGTATAACTACAGAGTGTCTTATTGCTAAGAGTTACGCTAATAATTTATTTAACTAGTGAACCCGCATGGCGTTAAAACGCCCAAAATTTTAATTCAAAAACCTCGAAACTATGCCAAACATTAGTTAGCGATCCGAGTGCCATATTTCATCTAAATCCGTGCAGCCGTTCCTGACTGAAGAGAGGTTTCGCATAAAAATAATGGATTTGCGTTTATTCATGTGTTAGTGTTTGGCCGAGCTTCTCCTCCGATTTGTGGAGTGCGCCTGGATGTTGTCACACAAAGCGGAGGGAGCTACAGTTTTACGCCGACTCCTAACGGCGATTGTATTTTTATGCCAAGCTGTTTTTCATGGCAGAAATACTCTCGGAAGGTTGCCATTGCCTGCCGAGGGGCGACCGCTATTAGAAATACATTTTGTTTGCGCACTGCTAACCACTACACCACCGGCGAGATCTCTAATAGTGTCGGTTTTTAATATCATCAAATTTCAAATCACCCTGTACCGATAATAAAGTACTTCCTTCAAAAAATAAAATCAACCCACATCTACAGGCCAAGGTCTTCACTTCGATCTCTATTATTTAATATTCCAAAGAACGGTGCAAATTTAATGACCTTCACAAAAAATTCTTCTCGTATAATATACATATATACTAAGTTAAATCAGTGAGACTTTTCGAAAAGGTTTCATTTTAATGTTTCACAAGACTTGTATATAAGTTGACTAAATTCGACTATTCACACAGGTGGAAATACTTTTCAAAAGTATTTTTAAGCTAAAATCTTTTTCTCTCTCCAACATTGTGATACATATTTCAATTAACTAATGAATTAATTTGAATTCGCTTTTTTAAACATTTGGCAAACCTTCTAAATATAGTTCAGAAATAAAGCCTTTTCAAAGCCAATTCGAATTTTACCCATATTCGTTTAACTTTTTAGTTAATTGGGATTTGTCCTTTATAACATCTGGCAATATACTTCAAACACCCCAAAAATATTTTTATGTAGCGTTCCAGCTAAGTACTTCATTACAATTTTTTCCTTGACATCCGTATTTTCATATTTCAAATAATTTTTGTATAA